ATTTTCATATAAAATAACATGTAAAGTAAAACTAGCAGTGTATGGCATCGTGCCTTAAGGTAAATTGCTGGAACTTCCTGTACCGTAATGAAATATTCGAGAAATTTTAAACGTTTTCAAATATATTATTACAAATACTGTAACTTTCTTTATTTTTGCATTATCTCGTTATATCTGAGCAAATCAAATGTAAATCATAAATCAATTTATCTCCGGAACATTAATCGTCAATCGTCATTTCATTTCGAATTCAATTTCCAAAAAAAATAGTTGCCTAATTTACACAAAACTGAAAAAGTGCTCCCGTACAGTCACAGTCTGAACGCATTTGCAAATAATTCTGTGCGACATTTTCACTTATACTGTGCTTAGCTTGGCGGCATTTTCACATGTTTCAATAGTTTTCACAAAATTGGAAAAGTGCTCCAGTACATAAACAGTCTAAACGCACTTGGGTAAACATTTGTGCCAGAGTGGCGCTTAGACTGTGCTTAGCCTTGGTAATTGTTTGAATTTTTAATCCAAAATTACAAAAATATTTTATGGAAAATAAAAAAAAGATGTACTAATTTTTTATCCCCAAAAGCAATTGTTTTGTCAATACAAGCAGAAAGTTTTTAGATCATTCAAATCGGACGCTCAGTTCACTCGAAAACTGCCATTTTTTGCACATTTAGCTCTGTATCTTCGAAATGTCGGGACCTGTCTTTGCCAAAAACTAATCACCTCTTCTCCCAATCATTACAAATTGAATGTTTTTTATATCATTCAAATCGGTTACTCTTTGCTTCGTATCTCCGTAACGGCTTGACCTGCCTTTGCCATAAACTAATCAGAACATCTCCCTATCAATAGGGATCGAATGTTTTTTAAATCATTCAAATCGGTTGATCCGTGCGCCCCAAAACGTGGACGAAAAAATGATACTACATGAACTTTTTAAAGTTGTTAACTCAGTGCATATATTTCGGGAACAAAAAAATTGATGCATTTGAAATAAAATATATTCATTCCAACAATAATTAGCTTTTGTTTATATATATTTCATTCAAACATATATAAACATCGTCGTCTAATCTAATAAGTTTTCACATTTTGTCTACAAGGAACAAACAATGAAAATTCTAGTTTTTATAAAATTTATTCATAGACATTTTTATTGACTGATTATTTTTATTCTTCTAATGTTTAATTACAGTATGGGAAGTACCAGCAATTTGCCTTAAGGCACGATGCCATGCACCACTAGTTTGCATCATATTAATATTACTTTTTCCCTTATGTCAATGCACTTTATGCGTGATGGCTTCCTTCGTCTTTCGTCGTACTTTGCGAAAGAGTCTTCGAAATAGAGAAATAATATATAAGTTAGTTTTCAAAGTAAAAGTCGATGTTTAAAAATAAAACACATATGACGCTAATGAGTTTGTTTTTCAAGTTATTTTCATCTCGGAGACGTTTTGTGAGTGATTAGTCGAAAATAAATTATGACATACAAATTCTTTATGATGTCCTATGCACGGCTGCGAGGATTATGGTAAAGTTATTTTTAGAAGATGAAAATAATAATTTAAAGATCAAATAGTATCTTTCAATTTTTAATTGCTTACCGAAAAGCAACATTCTTGAATAAAATCAAGATAGCACCTACTTTCTTCTACTTATTTATTAACTTCCCGTAGGGCAAGTTATAGTAATCGCAAAAAAATCGAAAATGAAAATTTTTATATATCTTTACGTTTCAGAGGTTTCTGAACATTTTGGCATACCTTAGAAAAAAATGGATGTATGTGTGTGTGTGCGGATACAAATTTTCATCGACGATTTCGGGAACACGAATGAAGCGATTTGAATAATTCAGAAAACATTCGATTTGTATTAATAAGGAGACGTGCTGATTAGTTTTTAGCGAAGGCAGGCCTGGCCGTTGCGAAGATACGGGGCAAAAAGTGCAGAAAACGGTATTTCAGTTTTTATGAGAACGTAACGTCCGATTTAAATAATTCAAAAAACATTTTACTTGTATTGACAAGATGAAAGATTGATCAAATTTTCGGGAAGGTAGGTCTAGCGGTTTCGGAGATCTGGTAAAAAAAATAGAAAAAAATGCCATTTGGCGGTCAAAAATGATCATTAGACATATGTACATCAAATTATCAGATATTTTATAGAGCTTTTAATCATGCATATCAATTTTATTTACATTTCTATGAGTTCCGTAACATTGTTTGTCTGTTAGATGGCGGCGCGGCGCTTATGCGCTTCGATTATACGTCTCTATGCAGCTAGAGCAGTGCGATTGCTTTGAAAAAAAGTTCAAAATTTCCAAAATATTTCAAAATAAAAAAACACTATTTTCCAAAGTCAACTGTTTCCAAATTATCAATTAAAAAAACAATTTATTCATTTAAAAAACAAAAATGGTACTGGAAGTTCCACCATTTTGCCTTAAGGCACGATGTCATACACCACTAGTTTATTATTTCAAATAAAATATTTTTTTATAAATTTTATAAATCTACCACTTTTTGTTGGACTTAATATCTTAGGATATTTATTCAGTCTGTGAACTTTTTCATTCATAAAAAGTTTAATGAAATATTAAAAAAAAACAACAATAATTACGAAAAAACGGCTTGACCGATGCTTATAAAACGTTTTTGAAAACACATAAATATTCCAATTTCAGTAGCAAATGATTCAGAATGACTTGAAACATCGAGAAAGCACAAAAAACAAGTAGGATTTTCTGGCGAAATATAAACTTCTTTTTGAGAAATTAGGAAGATTGTTTTTAATAAATAACAATATATTGTTAGATATATCTAATACAAATGAAACATTATTCATATATTGTAATTAAAAAAAAGCAAAAAAAATCACCTGGCAATTACAACAAATATTAATAACAGGAACATCAGTAAATTTACAAATCTTATATAACTTTGTAGAAAAAAAAAGCTAAAACCCATTCTATACCATAAAACTTTTACTCCTTTCTAAATTAAATAAACAAGGACGTCGAGTGCTAAATGCAAAAACTATATATAAATTAATAGTAATAATGTTTTTATATATTTATCAGTTAAGTATATTTTATTTATTTGTGTAAATGATTTAATTGCTATTTAAATTTTGTCGTGTAACCTTCGTATTTTGTACATTTTTTGAATGTATTGATTCTTAACATAAAGTTGTGTAGGGATAATAGGCAGGGCTCTTGTGGCAAATGTACTTACTCATAATAAATAAGAAATTAGACTAAAATTGTATGATTATAAAATAAAGAAATATTATAAGGAGATTGAAGATAGAATTGATTTTATTATTATAATAATAAAATTTAATTATAATAAATATTATATTGTAGTACAATAAAATAGACAGATGATATGTATATATAAAATAAGAAAATTGTTTCATAATCTCTCATACCAGATACCCCTGTCTGACTGAGATATAAAAATAATATATAAATAAATAAATAAAATAAAAAAATTATTTATAGGAATGTTGTTGGTTTCAAAATTTGATGAAAACAGCATTTAAATTGAAAATTATGTAACAATTTTTTTGCTATATAAGTTTGATTACAACTAAAGTAAATTAATTTGATTGTAAATGTCTATTATTATAATTAACAATTAATTAATAAAAAAATATATAAATGCATTTTAATATATGATTTTAGAGTATACCAAGGGATATATTTATATTATTCTTTAACCAATGGCACTTATAACTATTATTTTTCAGACTTTTATAATTTTGTAACATTTATCTCTATAATTTAGTCAATACTTATGATAATTTTAGTTCTACTTTAAAACAAAATTAAAAACTTTCTTGAACAAATGTCAGTTCACATTTTAAAATTTGTTATTATCAGTCTTTATTTATTATAATACTGCTAACACAAATTTGTGGCTTCTACCTGTATTATTAGTAAATACTTCTAATTAATATTTGCACTTTAAATTAATAAATAGAACAAAATCAAAAATTTTCATAAACAAATGCCATTATACACTTTTCTTGACATAATCATAAAACAAGTTAATTATCCAACTTATGACCTGACATTTATAAAATTTGTTTTATATAATATTATTAATATATCTCCGTAGATTTTAACAATAATATTTAGTAAATACTTTTATTAATTTGTTTTTCAAATTAATAAATAAAACAAAATTCAAAAGTTTATGTCAATTTTGACAGTTATATTATCCTGGTTTACTATTGGACGTCATCAAACGGAACGAACCGAACACGTCCGAATATAGAAACAATTTAATAATAAACCAAATTCAATTATAATAAATAATTTAATTACCTCATTTTATTATTAATAAGTGCAATTATTTGATTGAATATATAAAAAATAAGTATAAAGTACTTACAATGTTTAATTTAGGTTCCCAATACTCAATAACGGCCAATACAACACAATGTCACTTTACATTTTGCAATAATTATTATCCAGTTGCTCATTTTATATAACTTTCCTAGCATATTCATGCTTTTGTATTATTGCTCTAACATTTAATCAATATTTGTAACAACTTAATTAAAAATAACACAAAATTGCAAATTTATGTCCATTTTGACAACTCTTTTATCTTGGTTTACTGTTGGACGCCATTAAGCGTAAGGAGCCGAACATGTTCGATGGCATCCGAAGATATAAACAATTATATAAATAATTTGATAATAAACAAAATTTAAGAATAAATAATTTACTTATGTTATTTTTTGTGTATAATGTGTATTTATTACTGTGCAAAAAATTAATATAAAGTACTTCCAGTGTTTTATTTAAGTTCCAAAAAATCATCGCCAATGGCGGGACAAATAGCAAACTGTCACTTTACATTTTTAAACGATAATTATCAAACTTCGTTTGTGATAACGTTCAAGCATGTATATTTATCTATATTATTTATTTAATTTTTAAAACTCTTTCAGCAATTCTTAGCAAAATTAAATTAACAAATAAAATGAAATGTAAAATATTCCTTCGGCCTCCATCTTAAATCTACGTCACTCGCACACGACGCTTGAAAAACAAGTTTTCAACTCGCACACATTACACAAACTCAGTCATGGTATAAACATGTGTAAAACAACATTTAATTCACGATAAATATAAAAATATTTACCTAAAACATTATCTACGCATGTAAAAAATAGTAAAAAAAAACTATAAACTCGCTGTGATATTTTCCAACATTTACCGCAACATAACCTCAAAACCGTATGTCCTTTAAAAATTTGGCAACATTTATTATTTATTACAACACACCTGTTTCTACCTGAATCCTTTTAAAAACCCTTTTCTCTACCTGTGCTATTTGACTAAATTTCCTTATGGAAAGTACTTTACAATCATTCATGTTTTTGTGATCGAAAAGGACACAAGTGCTTTTAGATATTTCTCTACATTTTGGTGTTTCGGAGCTTTTATCCAAAATGGATAGTTGTTGTAATAAAATAATCGATGCTATTCGTTCAATTGATGTTAATGGAGATGATGGAATTAAATTGAATCAGAAATTTAAATATATACAAAGTGTATTTCAAAAGGAATGTACTAGTGCTAAACATTTGAGGTAAGGGAGATCTTTCACTTAAATTAAATACTTACATTTAATTTTTTTTACAAAATTGTGAACACAATTGTTTAATAATTTGATTGATTTTTAATTAGAGACAGGATTTTACAAACCTATCAAAAATTTTATAATAAACTTATTTAATAAGTTAATATAAATATAAATTGGTATATATAAATACAGATTGTCGAGAAACAAATAAGTAAAGAATATACATACTTATCATAGGCTTGATTATCATAATATAAGTAAAATATAAAGTATTTAAAAATTTATTCAAATTTAATAAAATAGAATGAATCTTTTATATATGTCAATAATTTTTACCAACAAATTTTAGTAACTGAATGTAACATAAATTTATATCTATATATACAGATTGCAAATACTGTGAGTATACATACTTATCGAAGGCTTTATTATTCCTTACCACTATCATTTATTTTAATAATTCACTTGTTTTTACTATCTGAGACTGAATTTTTAAACATATCAATAGTTTTATACTGAATTCCTTTAATAACTGAATATAAATATAATTTTTAGTATTTATTGACAATACTTATCAAGAAATATATAAATAGAGTTTTATTTAATAATTAATATATAAATAGAGTCTTATCGAAGCTTCTATCACCACAATATTAGTTTTATTTAATAATCTCTTGTTTTTAATTAAAGAAACTGATTTTTTAAAAATATCAATAGATTTTTAATAAAAAGAATATAACTGAATATAAATTTATTTTATATATACAGATTGTAAATACTTATCGACAGCATACAGGTTTGTGAATATACAAACTTATCGAAGGCTTTATTACTACACTATCATTTAATAATATTAATAATTCATTTGATTTTATTATCTGAAACTAAATTTTTAAATGGATCAATAGTTTTATAATAAACTCTTTTAATAACTGGATATGAATATAATTTTTTGTATTTATAGAGAATACTTATCAAGAATTATAAAAATAGAGTCTTATCGAAGCTTCTATTACCACAATATTAGTTTTATTAATAATTTGCTTGATTTTGATTAAACAGACTGAATATTCTAACTTATCAATGGTATTGCAATAAACTCTTCTAGCAACTATATATGAAGATAAAAATGTATGTAGAGAACTATTAAATCATGTAACATCTCGAAGAGTATTAGAGAATATTTAAAGAGTAACAAATACATGTCGCAAATATTTATAAATAATTGTTTGATTGAACTCTTTTTTAGGTGTTCGTAATAAAATATTCAAAGATTTTTGGAACACTTGCCTGAAAAGAATTATTTGTTTAAATTTAAATTATTATTTACTAAACTACTATTGAATTTGAATTAAATTAAATTGAATTAAATACATTTCAGGATACTTATGAAAATTACTATATAATAATAAAAAAATTAAATGTATATCCGATGATGAAGTTTAAGTAGCATTAAATACTAAATAAGTTAAAATAGTTAACACTAAATTAATAACACATTTATATAGAAAGAATTATAAAATATATTGTAGGGGAAAATATGTTTAGTTGCTTTTATTTAAATTTATTTTATTTATAAATGTTTTTGACGTGCCTGTTAATATTTTATTTATTATAAATATTCTCATTTATGAAATAGAGAGGTTACAAGATTTTTATAAACTACAAGTCGAGCAAATTATATTTGTTTTAATATATAAAGGCTGTATGTGATATTTTACACTATATGTATATAATTTTTTTTCCTTATTTTTCAGAGATATCTTCAGCAAACTGAACGAGCAAGCGTTAAATGATTCCATTTTTGCAGAACAATTAGCAGAATTTGGTGCATCAAGATTGTTTCAAACTTTGGAAATATTTAGTCAAAAATTATTACTGCTCATGGTTAATTTAATGAAGGAAAATTATCTGAGTAAGTTTTAATCCACAGATATATATATATATATATATATATATATATATATAAACATTTGTATAAAATAACCAATAGACTTGAATTACTTTTTTTATATAAATTAGTCTATAAAGACACAAGATCTAAACATAGTTTTTTATATTAAAATTTGATGCTAAAAATTATCAATATTAGTATAGTATATATATTATTAATCATAGGATTTATTTATTAGTTAAGATTGTTTCAATCTTTGGAAATATTTAGTCAAAAATTATTACTGCTCATGGTTAATTTAATGAAGGAAAATTATCTGAGTAAGTTTTAATCAACAAATTTATATAAAACGTTTGTATAAAATAACTAATAGAGGCATAGGATTACTTTTATATAAATTAGTTGATAAAGACACTGATCTGGACATAAAATATCTGTTTTTTTGTATAAAGTTTTAATGCAATATTAGTAGAATGCATGTATTATTAATTATAGGATCTTTTTAGTAAAAATAACTATTTTATATTGATCATGCTGTTAGATCCATGTGCATTTTTTATTTGGACTGAATAAAACATATTTATTATTCATAACTTTAAAGAATTATTAAGCAAAAACTATGATTCTCTATTAAAATATTCAAAGAAATTATAAATATTTAGTTGAAATAATTACTTTAAATTGTTTGATTCTGATTGATTTGTTAAATTTAAAAATCGTTTATTATTTATCAAAGAAAATTTAAACAATTATTAAGCAAAAGCCACGATTCAATATTAAAATATTCAAAAAATTCTAAATATTTTGTTGAAAGAACTACTTTAAATTGATTGATGCTGTTGAATTAATTGATTTTTCAATTTATTTGTATAAAATTGTTTATTATTTATCAAAGATTTAAAGAATTGAAACTTCATTAATTCATTTAATAGTTTTAAATTATTTACAGGGCTATCAAATACTGTATTTTAAATTAATCAATTTAATTTTATGTTTATTATAACTAAAGATTTTATTATAACAAAAAAAAAAACGACAGTTCTTTAAAATAAAAATTAAAATGCTCTTCTTGTTCAAATACTGAATTGTACATTCAATAAATTAATATTTTGTCTTTGATCTTTGAATGCTTCTATTTTAGATTATATTGGTAATATATCAGCTTACAAATAATGTATTCTAAATTATTATCAAGTTAGCATTATAACATTGTTCAATTTTATTTTAGGATTGGATGAAATGCAAGAATCGAATTTGGATGAATTGTTTAATGCAACAACATTGTTTAGCCAGTACTACAGCAAGTAAATAAAAAACATTTATTTATTATATACGTGGTCTGTTCAAAAAGTACCCGGAATTACTAATAATTAAATTTCGCGGGTCTGGAGTGTCTGATTGTCAATTTTTTTTTTTATTGTGTTGGTATACATGCCCCTAAAGTATGATGAAATTTTCAGCTATATTCACTGTTTACTTTGTCTGTGGTAGTCGCTAAGGTTCGACGTGTTTTTCTGAGCTCGGCGATTTTTACAATGGAAGAATTGAAAAGTCAAAGAATTTGTATTAAATTTTGCGTAAAAAATGAAATAAAGTGTTGCAAAGTGCAAAAATTCACCAGATATGGCTCCGTGTGACTTTTTCCTATTCCCAAAGTTGAAGGACCCATGAAAGGACGGCGGTTTTCCTCGATTGAAGAAAATCGCTGAGAGTGCTCAAGGACATATCAAAAAGTGAATATCAAGGGTGCTTCGAAAATTGGAAAAAACGCTGGCATAAGTGTATTATATCTGGGGGGGGACTACTTTGAAGGGGACCACATTAATGTAGACGAATAAATAAATATTTTTTTGAAAAAACGAAAATTCCGGGTACTTTTTGAACAGACCACGTATATATATATATATATATATATGTATATATATGTATATTTATATATTTATATATATGTGTCTTTTTACAGGGCTCGATCACCAGAAGGTTTACCATATGACTGGCTCGTTAAGCCTCTTTTGGAATATTTGAAAACATTTCTAAATTTGAACACAAAGAGATCAGCTAAAGAATTCACAACACAGGTAAGTCATGCAGATTAAATTGAAATTACTATATAAATTTATTTATTTTTAACATAGCAAGTTATAAGAAATTTCATCTTTCTTTCAGATTACATTAAATGGTGAACGAATAGCAAAATCCCACCCCAAAGAATATGCAGAACTTTTAAACCTGTTACGTCAAAGAATTTACTTAGACGAATCAGAGGATAAATCAATTAGATTATGGTACATGTTTTGTTTAGATTATTCATATACATATTGTCCGTCCATGAATCCAAAAGTGGAGCAATTTTATAATGCATTGTTAAAGGAATTTGTGGATAACGAGGAAACCTCTGTTGAAAATAAACAGACTGAAGTTAATGGAACTGAGGAGGTTAAAAGTGAGCTAAAGAAAGATGATGAGAACAAAAAAGTTTTAAGTCGTAGTTCTAGTGTAGTTAAAGAAATTAGTAGTAGACGTCCAAGTAGAGAAGAAGCTATTAGAGCTTCTATTGAAAATATTAATAGAGCTGTAGAACAAACAAGTATAGTTGAGCCAGAACAAAATTCTGTTGATAAACAGCATACAACAGTTGAGCATGTTACAACTGTTCAAAGTGCAGCTAAAATTTCTGCTGAAAATCTAAATAACCCTTTTGATCAAACCTCCAGGACTGAACAAGTTAAAACCTTAAGTAAAGACAATGATGTACCTACTAAAACAGACACATCTAATGATTATGTTAATAAACAACCCTCGACAAATCCTGCAGTCACTTCCAGATCATTCAGACCACCTATGAAGACAGCGCAAAGTGACCGTTTAAATGAGGCTGATGCACTAGTTTCAAATCTATGCCAAAACATTGCAAGATGCTCCGGAGATGCCTCAAGACAATTTTTCAGTTCCAGAAACCAAACAAACACAAAATCCTCTCCCAATGGACGTTGGACTTACAATGATAATGACTATAAAACATCTCACAGAAATGATAATGATTTCAAACCGACTCAGAGGACCGATAAGTTCAAAATAGAATATGGTAATAATGATAATGAATTCAAATCAACTCAGAGGACCGATAGGTTTAAAATAGTATGTGGTAATAATGATAATGAATTCACAACTCAGACGACTGATAAGTTTAAAATAGTATGTGGTAATAATGATTCATTTAAACCGAAATCAGGTGGTATTTTATCACCTCGTGAAAGACTCCGGTCTCATTTGAATAAAAATAAACAGTCGCTGCAACAAGAGCCTCCACAGAATGAACAAAAGAAAAAGACTATAAAATCTTATTTGAAATCCGAGTATGTAGAGAATTTAACATGGAATCATGTTGATGATCAACAAGATTATTATCCTGAAAAAAATGATATATCGCCTCGTTTTATAAATTATCTACAAAGGAATTAATTGCATTTTACTTTGTAGTATATATTATTTTGAATATTCAACACAATTTGTAATATATTAAGAATATGTATATAATATGGTATTGAAAAAGCCATCAAATTTCGATTTATGTACAAATTAGTTAATTATTTTAAGATTCTAATTTACACTGCCTTACACTTGGCATTATTTTAATTAACCTAACTATCTAATATTATTAATAAGTAAATGAAGATTTTAATTTAACTACACGATAACTATTTACAAAATTAGTTAATAACAATTAGTAAATATTTTTGCAAAAAATAACAATTTGGCAAATATATAATAAGAGTAAAATTATCTGATGATTTTACTGCAGGAATAATGTGTGCATTTTTAGAATAGTAAGAATAGGATCTCTAATTAAACTGATTTAAATTATTGATAAGATTTTTGCAACTGATTAAGTAGAACAAATTATTTTATGTACTAATTAGAATAAATATTTTTCGACATTGGAATTGCTTGTATAATTTAATATATATATATATATATATATATATATATATATATATACAAATACATAAACAATAATTCAATTAAGAATCCTTTCTGCACCCACTTTTATATTTATTCAAACCAACACTGTCTTTTCTCTATTAATACTTATTTTAATTAATCTAGCTAGCAAAAATTATTCATAAGTTAATGAAAATATCAATTTAACTATATACACAATTAGTTAATAACAATTAGTAAATATTTTTGTAAAATATTTAACAATTCGGCAAATACTCTTAAGAGTAAAATTGTGTGAATTATGATGATTTTACTGCTGGAATAAGGTGTGCATTTTTAGAATAGTAATAATAGGATCTCTAATTGATTTAATTTATAAATAAGATTTTTGCAACTGGTTAAGTAGAACAAATGATTGCATGTACTAATTAAAATAAATATTTTTTGATATTGATAATTGTTTGTATAACATGCCCCCACTTTATTTATTATAAAATATAATAAAACTAGATGTAAACATTGTTAAGTCAAAGGCAAAAACTTGTTTCATAAATAATAAGAAAAAAAATCTATCTTAATATTCATAAAGTCTTTTTGATAACTTAGTTTTGTTACTATTTTTTGATCTACTTTATTATTGAAAAATAAAATAGAGAATACATTGTTAATGTGATTTATATCTAGAAGTGTGATATATTACAATCGTTTCATCGCTTTGAAAGCAAGTACTTATGTAAAAAACACTTGGTGAATATTTTAAAATTTGTCACAACGCAAAATAAACCTTAAAACTGGTTACATATTTAAATATTTCGTTTTTATGTACTGATTGAATCAAGAATTGAATATTTAAACAAAGAATTAACTTTAAGGAATTTAAAAATTAATAAGATACTAGGATAAAATCTATTATATAGAAATAAGGGATATGGAAATCGAAATATAGTCTATTTAAAATATTTCATCATGGGCTTGTTATCAACTTAAATCAATATAGAAGTATTGATTTGAATCTGGTTAATAATTCATGATAATAATATCAATTGTAAACCAATTCATTTGTTATAGTTCATCGATTAAAATGGACAGAGTGGAATCTTTTTGAGTGTTTCTAGTTATAAATCTAATTTATTTGGACAAACCAAAAATAGAGAAAGACTATTTTGTTCTTTCAAATTATCTCACATACATTGTGACATAAATATGTTATTATTTTTGATCAATAATGAATGAAAATAATAAAATATAATAAAAGTATAGTCTAATAGAACAAAATAGAGTGCAAATTTAAATAGAGTCTATTTAAAACCACTTGTAACAGATTTCACCAAATTAGAGCTATTACAATAAAATTTATTATATACAAATATGGAAAATAGAAATGAAGATGGAATTAATTTGAAATATTTAATCGAGGGCTTGTTTCCAGCTCTCTACGATAGTCCTAAATTAAGCAGCAGAAATTATCAAATCAACTTAAATAAATATAATAGTATTGATTTGAACCTGGTTAATAATTCAAGATAAAAATATCAATTGTATGCCAATTCATTTGTTATAGTTTATCGATTAAAATGGATAGAGTTGAATTTTTTGGAGTCTTTATAGTTATAAATCTTAATGATTTGGACAAACCGAAAATAGAGAAAGACTATATTGGTATTTTAGGTCTACAAATAAAACATATTTTGTTCTTTTAAATTATCTGACTCAAATTATCTGGCATAAATGTATGCAGTAAGGAAAATGACTGGATAAACTTTATTTGAAGAAATTGTTAATTTATCTAAATGACTAAATACAGATTCTAAAATTATCTTATGGGGCAATTCTGCCGTAACAGAGCTCATAAAATAGCGTTGTCATGGCAACACTCTCTTGATATTGAAAATTATGAAAATGTCTGTCTATTTACCGTGCGATCAGGCGTATTTTACTTAAACAAGCAAGGAAGAATCTTATGATCATCAAAGATTCTGTTGAATTGCCCCATTTAGGATCTGATTTAATAATAATGATTATTTTTATAAATAATGAATGAAAATAATAGTATAGTAGAAGTAGAGTCTAATAGAACAAAATAGAATGCAAATTTGAATTTAAATCCACTAATAATAGATTTCACCAAATTTGAAAACTGATAAATAAAATCAAATTTGAAACATAGATAAATAAACATACATGGATAGAGAAAACTAACAGATTTGAACTTTTTGGTATTTACACTTAAAACAATATTTATTCATTACTAATAGCCATTATTATTTTCTAGATAAAATAAGCAGATAAAAAAGCAAATTTAAAAAAATTTAAACATTTTTATCAAAAGTTCAAGTTTTTGTTTTCTTAACATTGGTACCCGCGTATGTCCATTACGAAGTCGTTGAGCAATTTTGAAGTGTGCTTCCGAAATTAACGCAAAATCATCTATAAATCGCAAAGTGTTCATTAATATAAATAAAAAATTAACAAATACAATAAATTACAATATTCTGTGCATATATTAAACAGTCTTGTATATAAATATCATTCTGGACGAACGAACGAGCAAAACCATTTTCTAGGTTATGTTCTCCATCAGTTAACATCAAACATTAAGTCGTTAAATTAATTAATAAAGAAGTAAGTAAAACTTTTTTGTTTAACTACGTGTATGTAAAATCGGGCACGTTATTTTAAGGCTTTTATTTAGCGTGAAACAAGACACTATGGCCTGGTAGAATAAAATTGCACAATTGTACAATTGTACAAATGATGCAGTGTTAATAGTAAATATAATTTGATGATATTAATTACAGTGTGTATATATGTTTAATTAAGACTTAAGATACAAAGCAACAAATTGTTATAAATAATTTAATTGGTAAAAAGTGCGCGAGTCCTACTGACAAATTTGCAAAGGCCCTTTTGACACATGACAAAAGTAAGTGCAAATTTTTACTTTTGCTTTTAAACAATATAAATGTAATTTATTTATATATAACTGGTGATGCAGTATCACCCTACTACCCAAATGCAACATATACAATATTATATTATTACTTATTTACAAAATTTACAAAATGTCTTTATACTCTTCAAAATAAAAGATTGCACCAGCCCAAATAGACAATCATACGTCTTTGTCCTTCTTCGTGCAAACAATTTAGTACAAGTTTTTATTCGAACCTGATGACTTAAAATAAATTAATAATTTCTGAATATATTATATTCTAATATTGTCTAGACTTAGGTTCAAAAATAAAAGTGTACATGAATGTCATTGAAGATAAGGTTTTATGTATACACGACTAACTGTCAATGAAGGTTAGTAATGCCATCGATTCAAAATAAAAAGATTGCACCAGCCCGTATACCCATTCATATGTTTATACTTCTTCATGCAAAGGATTTAGTCAAATATTTTTATTAGGACCTAATGACTTAAAATTAATTGATAATTCCTCATCAGACATTGTTTAATATATTATATTCTAATATTGTTTAGACTAAATTTTGTGTACTAGTGTACCAGTACTAACTGTCACTTAAGTTTGATGTCTCTATGACTAACTGTCAATGAAGGTTAGTAATGCCATTGGTGTAAAAAATTCCCACAAAATTCATCTATATAATTTTATTAATTATCTAAAACAGAAAAATTAACAACGATATAAAATCTAATACATTTGCATTTAGGCTCAAGAAGGCTTTTTTAAAGCTCTTGGCAAAGAAATTATAATATTTTTATATACATTTAAGGGAGGGACAGATATATTTGAAAATATAGCTAATACTCTAAGCTGTTATAAATATCTAGAAAATTTAATATAAATGTTATGTAAATCTAACTATGATATATATACATATATACAACATGTACATATACATATAAAAAAGTGTTTGGGTAGTAAACAATTTTTAAAATTTCTCCTTTAGAATATTTTTTTTAAATTATTTATGTTTTCTAAATATCATACATATATACAGAATTGCCAATTTATTTCTTTCTATAACTTTATAAATAAAAATCCACGATAATATTAAACTAAGTACTCGAATCAGTTTTTTTATAAAAATAACTTTACATTTATTAATACAAACAAAAAAAATAATAATAATACCATATATTAGATAAAATGTTATATTATTTTGTTTTGATTTGTAAAATATTGTATATTTATTTTTATAAATATATAATTTTTGTACTTTCTACATTTTATATCTTGGATTTATATAAAGTATAGGTATAATATAATTATATTAATATTTTATATTTTTCTAAGAAAAGTTATGAATATTCCTGAAGAAAAAATTTAAGTAAATCACTAGAAAATATTTAAAAATATTTTAAAAGTGCTTAAAGCATTTCGAAGATCAAATATGTTTGTCCAGGAATCATCGGGAATATATATATATATATATATATATATAT